AGACCTGATTCATAGCATTGGTGGTGAAAACCCTACTCGTAAATTAATAAATTACAAATATAGCATCAATTCTCGGAAGAACTTTAAATAAGCAGGCACGGATCAACGAGCAGTCGACGGCACATTTGTAATTCCCACTGATGTCGTGGTCACAAATCTCGATGGCTTACAGGGCACGCGTGGCACGGGAGCACGGAACCAATGGGGTCCTTATCGGGGAAAAATAAATTGGGTTTTTTTTTGTCCAATGAGAAGTATACATTGAACGGGGTGGCGAGGGAGGAGAGTGTGGACATTCCACACAGAGAATTAAAGCGACAGCACATCCCTGCGTGGTGTGAAACTTAGCGGAAGAAGCAGTGCACAGTCGAGAAGTGGTGCCAAGTGCCGAGGATGGAAGCCATGGGTGTGGGGTTGAAATTATAAACTAAAACTTAGATATTTTTTATTTTACCAGGTGAGCCCCACTACGCTATGTAGCTCTTTTTCAGAAGCGATCTGGCCACAAATCATAGCTCAACGAAGTGGGTTATCACGTGGAAATGTCTAGCAGCCAAATACTCTAAACGTATGTTTCTAAATGTGGAGGGAAAAACCGGAGGACCCGGAGAAATATCCACGTGACCACGGGGATAGAGACACGCAAACTCCAAATATACAGCAGGTGTCTGGGTCATGGTCGAACCGACGACCTCCTTCATACCAGGCGAGCTAGCTAACATCTCGCCACCGCGGCACCGTGTACAATGTTCAAAACCACACCATGAATGAAACTTTACTTCGCCATAATAATACGTCTGGTTTGTAGTGAGCGCAAAATCCATGCGGCGAGTCACTTTCACGATACGGGGGGACTACTGCGGAGCACACGGAGACCATCGCTCCCTCAAGCCACGCACGACTGCCGCGGACTGTAAAGCAGCAGCAGCAGTAGCAGCGAGCAGTAAAGCCGAAGTAGCAGAAGCAGCAACAGCAGCAGCATCGCCGCAGAAGTGAGAGCGGCAGGGACGGCGCTGCCGAGCGCAGCGGACCGCCGTCTCCGAATTGCGCTCGGTCCTCCATCAAATTCGTGTTAAATTAGATATCGAGTGTAATCCTGCAACGAGAAATTGCCTCGGCCGCATTGTCCGATGTTACCTTCCTCATGCCTTGCGTCGCCAAGGCCCAATCCATCCGTGAACCTCTATTACCAGCGGCCACGTCGCTCCCGTGCCCCCTAACGGCACGGGGTCATAATTGATTATCTTCGAGACACGCCCTTTGCCATTCAATTTGACTTTATAACAGATGTGGTTATTTTTAGGACTGCGGTAATATAACGTTCAAATGCACCCATAAATCACAGCCAGGCGTGTGCAGCAAGTGGCACGCGGTGCCCCGACCTTATAATTTGGCACTTCCACGGCCCCTCGTTATTATAATGACATGTCCAACGAAGGCTGAAATGTAAAAGAATCCTCTCCTGCACGTTTACATTTCCGCGTTCCAAGTAATAATTCAGTCATTAATTAACATAACTATTTCAGTGGAATGTCAGCAATGAATAACGTGTGGGAGCGGCGGTGCGGCTGTTCGTGCACCACGCTCTAATAGACCCCATCGCCTGAGTTGGACTCGTGGCCAGGGCGTAAACGAGTGGCAAGTGACAGTTGAACTGGTCCTAGGCACCGACCTGGACAAACGTGCGCTGACCAGCGTGGTGGAAGTATGGTCAAACAATCCCCATGACCAACACGGCATGGGGAGGCGTTCATCCAGCAGTGGATTGACCACGCGGTGTGCTTTACCATTAATTAAAAAATTCATGACCATAAATAGAATCCGTATAATTCAAGGCTGTAAACACACGATGAATCTATGCGAGGGTTTATAAGCAAGGATTGACCAATGTGGCTTTCATTATAAACGTAATATTCACGTCGGAGTGAGTCCATCAAATTGTAATTAAACAAGGAATAAAATGCACGCAACATGATAACGGAATGACAAGGGACTTTGTGCTGTACCTGACAATACACACACAGATTACTCATCAGCACTCATCAGCGCTCGGTAACACTTGCCAAAATGCAAAAACACTCATCACGAACAGCACCACAGGGGATGTAAAATTTCCACCAGGGATTTAGAATCAAAATACTCGATAAAAACGAACTGGCCCAGCATCTCAATTCAGGGTGCACGTTGACACGTTGTGTTCGCATGACCCCAGCGATGATCCCAGTCCAGCACAGCATTAGGCAGTGCTCAGGTGTTTCGGTGTCGAGACGTTAACTACCTCGCCTGGTGTGCTGGAGGTCGCTTGATATTTTTCTCCCCATATTTAGAAATACGCATTGAGATTATTTTGATTATTTTGCTGCTATACATTTCCACGTGATAAGCCACTTTTTTGAGCTATAATTTGTGGCCAGGTCGCTTCTGAAAAATAAGTTAATACCTCAGTGGGCTTTACCTTGTAATATAAAACTAGTTTACTTTTCGATTTAAAGCTTTCGTGACTGCAGGGATTCATCTTCTTGGTTCTTTCGGTAAAGTCACGTAGAAGGGAAGTAATCAAATAATAAAAAATAATAAAAATTAAACGTAATATTATGTTTTATTTTTATTATTTTATTACTTCCCTTCTACGTGACTTTACAGAAAGAACCAAGAAGATAGTTTACTTTTGTATAGTTGTAAGTGATGTGTTTACTTTTCCAAGATTTTGCAACCCTATCGTGTTTTCCTGTTGTTTGTTGTTGTCACGTTCTGACCCCGTGCCCCTTACTGGACATCTGCGAAAAAGACCTGCATAGCTCATCGGATTCCTCTTCTGCAGTATAAATACAGATTGTGACTCTGATGTCTTGAGACTCTACGAGGCTTTCCTGGAGGAGTGCACGAGACAATTCTGACAGCCGGAAATGAGGGTATCGAGCGTGCGCTCGGAACGGGGTTAGGGAAAGCCAACAGTGACCCTCGCCATAGCAACGTGGAATTTCCCATCACTTTGACTTTGCTGCTCAAGCACCCGAGTCGGGCGAGCTAAGAATGATAATAGTTTTAATCTTTATTTTATGCAGCGCCTTTCATGACGAAATCTCAACACGCTTTACAATAATTAACAAAAACTTCCCAAGTATGAATATATTCCAAAGGAAATACAATAAATTCTGATCATAATGACAATAATAACGACACTCGCAATACACATAACAGGAACAGCTATGATCAAAGCCAATAATAAAACGACACATTGAGGTAAATCCTGATCAGACTACAGGAAAGGCCAATGAATAAAAAGAGGGTTTCAAAATCGGTTCAATAGTGCTGACCGTTACAGTTCCTGATATTGGGGGGGTGGGTGGGGGGTGGATTGCATGTACCATGGCACGTGTGTCTAGCATGTGCTAAGTGTGTGTGTGTCTGGTGTATACCGTGTAGGTGTGTACCAATCACGCGTGTGGCAATATATGAATGTGCATGATTACATGAGTGTATTTACATGTGAAAGACACGTGTGCGTATGCCAAATGTCGAAGTGGTAGGGTAGCAGTTAGCGCGCTGCGCTAGGAGTTCTACAAGTTCGATTCCCGCTCATGGGGAACATCGGTGCTGGGCCTCACCTAGGTCGACTGGGCAGTAAATGAGTACCTGGTGCGGTATGCGTAAAGGCGGCCGGGCGTGGTGTTGGCCACCCACCCCATCGTGCGCTGTGCCTGCCTTCATAGGTGCTCGCTAGCAGCACTTGCCCCAACAGTCTGTTTGTGTCAAATGTATGCGCGTGCAGCATCAGGGGTAACGCGAGAGATTTGTGCAGGAATTGGACCAAGGTTTCATTCCCGACGGAGGTAAACAGCTGTTCATTGCGAGCTTCACAACAAATTACACGGCAAAGGCCCTTTGACTCGAGTCCACACCTGGTGTGGACTCGAGTCATGTGACTTGGACTCGAGTCAGACTCGAGTCATGAATTTGATGACTTCAGACTCGACTTGGACTTGCATAACAATGACTTTGTCCCACCTCTGGCAAAGGGTATCACACAACGCTGCGTGTAATTGATGCGTCACGTTGAAACGCTCATACCGTGTTCCTGCAAAACAGGGAGGGTATTTGTTACTGATGTGCGAGAAACACAGCGTACATTGCAAATCTCTTATCCACTAACTTATTGAAAGTACATTTTGGGCGTGGTAAATGTCGAAGTGAGTTCATTTCTGTGGCGTGGCGCGAGTTTAAAGTGTAAAGCTTGTGGGGTTATCGAAGTTAAAAAGTCGACTTAAGCCTCCCCCCGTACCTGTCTCTCCACACAAAACGCATAAAGATTTTTTTTTTTACTTCCCATTTAGTTACACGGGCTTTTTGCGAGCGATTTAATTCAGTATTTTCAGTAAAATAAACGTTTGTTTTATCCGATGTCAAGGGACAGATGCGGGAAGGAGGTAATATTGTCTGCTCATTCGTTCGGCTCCCCACATTCTCCACAACGACGCGAATCATTGTTCTGTTGAGTGTCACCGATGGCAGACGGCCTCTGTGGTTCATTGTCGTCATCATTCGTAATCGAGGTATTTTTGGGGGGTTTGATCGTGTAAAATACAAATGTGTCGTTAACCCACCACCACCCAACACAGCCAATTAATAAGGTTTGGTACGTAAACAAAACGTGCCAATTCGCTACTCGCTCAGCACACCGCTTGTGTGTTGGAGAGTAAACCCACAACATTTACAATTTGAGTATCGTGACGTTTCGCTGGTAATGACATCCCGCTTCGTCACAAGATTATGTTGTGGATTTACTCCAACGCACCGGGGGGGCTGAAGTAGTAACGAATTGTCATGTTTTGTTCACATGACAAATCTTACTAATTGGCTGTGTCGGGTGGTGGTGGGTCAACGACACATTTATATTTACACGATCAAACCCAACAAAAAAAACCCTTTATTGTGAATATTGGCCGCGAAAGCCTACTACGTGTTAAACTGATCATCGTCGTCGTCGCCACTGTGAACAGCAGGTGGCTGGCAATCCCAGAAATCCGCAGAGGACACGACGCTGGCGAGCGTGAGCCGGCGCGTCGTCGAGACGGCCATCAGCCGAGCGGTGCAGCAGTACCTGCGGGAGAGCACGACGGAGCCCCGCGACAAACTCGCCGACCCCGCGCTCGACCCCGCGCCGCCAGAAGACAACGGAGCCGTCGCCGACGCGGGCGAGCGGAGGGCGAACGCGAATTAATTCCCCGTTGATTCTCAGCGTCGTGACCTCCTGACCCCCCCCTCGGCGATGACCGCCGCTGGCGATGTACGAACGTTGCGGAGCGAGGTACGCCGCGGCCGTCGGCTATCGGACTGTTATCGATCCTTCTCCGTATGCGGTATGGGTTGATATTCCGCGGAAAGGCGTGTAGCATTGTAACAGAGAGAAGTGAAACGTTTCCAAAAACGTTCCTCAAAAGCTCACAGTGCAACGTTGGGGGGATCGTATTTACGAGCTGATCGTACATGCACGATTCAACACTATGGACCGTACACCACAGTGTAGCGAGCGATGCAGCGTTAAAAGTTACTCAGGTCAACTCTTTGAGTTGTCCGTGAGCGCATTGCTGGCTCCATGACGAAGCTGCTCTTCACGGGTCCGTGACTCGGTGCCTGCGTGAGCAGAATGAAGCTGACAGATTTGTCGCAATAGAAACACGCAGGGAATTCGAAGTATCCACGTCACCCTCCCCCTCCCGTTCTGCTTGGGTAGAAACAAAAGCTGTGTTTAGTGGAATCTGATTAACCTAATGTTTTGCATTCGTAGTGTTTCGCTTCATCTGGGCCACCACCCCCTATTTCCCCGGATAACAGAGAGATCATGTATTGTGAAAAATTACGTAACCAGTGTTTATCTGTAGAAAAAAAACTCGACACTCTCGTCAACCGCACTGTGGCCTGAAAGGAAAAATAAATAATCGGCGACGTTTCGGGCAATGGCCCGACTTCATAGCACATTTCCCTAAACGTCGCCGATTAAAAAACCGGCGATGTATAATTATATAATTAATGTAGAATTATAAATTCTCATAAAGTCATACCTGTCAACCCCTTAGCAGTGCCCTACCTTATTACAGACCGATTCAGACCCTATCGGTCACCCCGTGCCCTTATAAATCTCAACGTGCATCCGACAAAGTCACAACACAAGGGAGAAACACAAATAGACATACAAATAATGTTGCCCGTATTGAAACGGCTCTACACCGTATGGACCTGAAAACTCAATTTCCCTGTACAGGAATACGGGTAAACCGTATGGGTTGACAGGTATGTGAAGCAGCGTTGTTGACGTATGTTGTACAGCGTGTTATTGATTGTACTTGTGCACCACTCCAAACGTAGCAGCGGTATCACCAAATAAAGTGCTTACCCGTGTACGCTTTTGACGGCCACGATCTGAAACGTACAGTCGAGTATGCCACAGTGTTGCACCGTCGATGTATCATCATTAATATAATTATTCAGCTCTCATTTGTACGCTACCGTCACGATCTGCAGAGCAATAATCATCGGCCTGCGCTGGTGCGATAGACGCCGGAGGCTGTTGTGGAAGGAAATCGCATTGATTGCAGTTGCTCATATCCTCGCAATGGGTCACGTGATGAAGCAGTCGTGCCTGATAACAAGAAGCGTCGTTTCGTTTTAGAACTCTCCGACTCCCAGCAACCGGCTGGCATTTGGTGCGCGGTGAATCGTAGCCGCCGTCTCGCCTGGCGTTCGAGAGAGAGAGACGCAAAGATTCCTGCGAAACAACGACCCCAGACGTTTGAGTCGTGACCGTTGTGATATAAACAGACCGTGTGCTGCAGTATGAATCATAATACGTCAACCAACATCGGAATTAACATTCCAGTGGGCATCTGTGTGGCAGTGTGACGTACAATTGGGTGTGTGTGTATAAATGCCTTAATATTTTCAACAGCTTTGATATTTAGGAAGTGACTACAGTATTTGTAATGGAGATGAGTAAATAATATCAATTCAGATTTCCACATCAGATGTAGCCACTAATCACTCACATTTTGCCCGCGTTCAAACTGAGGACAATCCAATATCGTGTTTAAAGTTATCAAACGGTGAACACAAATGCTCAATAACACTCACACACCACTCAGAACAAGACTTTATTTTTTTATTACGACTAAATTAACAAAAGTCGCATTTGATTTAACACCTCGGTGTTTGCAGCCAATGTGATTTATAATATATTTTTTAGTTAGTGGGTGGTGTCAGGTGTTGGAGGGTTTAAACGACACAAATTTGTCCAAAATTCAATTATGATTCAAAGTTACGTTGGGCTAACCTACAATATGTATTGTTTTATAATCATCATGGGACACTATGTAAAGTTTTTTTTGGGGGGGTTTGAATGTGTAAATATAAATGTGTCGTTGACCCACCACCACCCGACACAATCATGGGACCTCACTTGCCAGCATCAACATATAAGAATAGGTTTTTACCCTTTCTGGCAATTAGTTGTGTTCAAATGTTTAAACACCAAACAGAAATCTTTTGCAAGGAATCATGTCTGCATCAACCACATATACTTGTGGTGGACATGTAGACAAAAAAAGAAGGCTGTCTCTGGTGTGGACCAATCAGTTTCAAAGACAATGCATCGTAAACTATCAGAGCATGTGTTTTCGTTTGCTAGCATGTTCACCACAAGCACGTGTGGTTAACGCAGACATGATTCCTTGCAAAAAGGTTTCTGTTTAGAGTTTCAACATCTCAACATCTCAACACAACTGTTTTATTACCATCTATTCTTAGATGTTATAATCATGTTTGGTTCACCTGTATGGACAGACAGAGATATGAGCTTTCACCAAATCACGAGACTTGAAAGCCTGGGCACCCCTTGCCAACGAAGAGACGTTCCATTCGCCGTTTGATTTTCCACGTGAAATATTTGAATAAATACAATCAACGTAACTGTTGCCTCGCGTGCGCGGCTGATGATCTCCGACTGGCAAGCTTCATGCTCGTTGCACTAAAACGCGGGCGCCTTTCAGCGCCGTCGATTTTCCATGCCCAGCGTGGGCAGACATCGGTGGCCCGTGCCGGCTCTTCCGCCGTCATTGAAGGACCGCGTCTCGTCTTGGACGCACGTCTAGTACTGGTGGACACAACAACGACGGGTGACATTAAAAGTGTGTTCTTTTTTTTCTACCCACGTGACTTTACCGAAAGAACCAAAGAGTATGGATGCCTGCAGTCACGAAAGCTTCAAATCAAGATTAAAAGTGTGGTGTTGTTGTCTTTTGGAAAAAATGGAAGGAACTGGAAAGAGAGGAAGACCGAACAGAGAGCGGCTCGACTACGACGACTTAAGTAGGTTGGTGCCAGAGAGACGTGGCCACGACTTGAGCGTATTGGCACAAGACGGAGGAAAGTGTAAGCAAATGACGAAATGTGCAGCAGACACCGACACGGGCGATCTGGCCATGGATATTGATGATGATGTGTCTTGTATTGGTGTGGCCCGACACTGTTGTTTTACTGCACAAACACACCCAACAATATTAATCAATGTATACATAAGCATCACTCACACAGATTGCATCTCTAAACGCTGCTGTAGAATTGTCACGAGCGTGATTTTCGCACGGAGGCGCGGGAAACCGCAGACGAGCAGGAGTGCAGCCAGAAGCGGCGCCCACACTTGCCCAAGCTCTGTGGTCCTATGTTGGGATGTTTTGCCAACTCCAAAGACAAAGATCCCCCGTATAGCCTTTAACAGACTGTTGGGGCAAGTGCTGTGAGCGAGCACCTATGAAGGCTGGAACGGTACAAGAGGGGGTGGGTGGCCAGCACCACGCCCGACCGCCTTTGTCTCCCCAGTGGGGATGTTTACACACCGCACCAGGTACTCATTTGAGGCTGAGTCGACCTAGGGGAGGCTCAGGACCGGTTCAGATAATCGTTACTGATGGTCGCCGTGAGCGGGAATCGAATCCGGGTCGCCGGGTTCGTAGCGCAGCGCTAACCGCTACACTGCCGCTCTCCATAATCAAGAAATGTTGGGACGTTTGGGCAACTCCCCCACACGCACACAAACACACTTTGTGCGATACACATTGTAGAGATGCAGGTATGAGACTCGCCAGGGAAGGGGATCCTCAAACGCGGGGGTCGACTCAGCCCAACATCACCGTAATCATTAAATGGATTGCATCATTATCACCCATCATGGCTACAATGAGCAGCATGAGCACGGATAACATTGTCGTATTGATAACACGGATCACAAGCAGCATCGGCAGGATCACCATAATTCATCTCGGGTCGATACAATGGGGAGCACCATTTGTGGGAGGTCAGCGATGGTGGCTTCTCAGTGAGTGGACTGGCCCCTGCCATAGGAATGTGTAATTTCCGCCACTGAATCAGGGTCACCGATGGTGACGAGTGCCAGGGTGTACTCCCTGCTGTGCGAGACACACCTCTCATTGGCTACTTTGACCCCCTTGTTGAATTTAGTTTCAACCTGGCCTGACCTAACATGGTTCTGAGAAATAAAAGTACGAATAATGATCAATATTCTAACCATAATAAAGGTTTTTGGGTTTGATCGCGTTATTATAAATGTGTCGCAACCCTCCACCACCCGACACGGCCAATCAGTAAAACATCTTTCACGTTAACAAAAAGCCAATTAGTTACCTACTTTAGTTCTCTACGTGGTTGTTGAGTAACTGCAGCTACATATCATTAACATTCCTTTCCTTTGTTACTGCTAATCCCTGCACCCCCCTTGGTTGCTGCTGATCCTGCATAATGCATGGGCATAATATGACTTTGACACCCCCCCGCCCAACGCCTACGCATTTTCCATGAATATGCTAAATCCCTCTTCACATGCACATTCTTTTTGTTAAGGCGCTCTTCAACCCCCAATGCAGCTTATATATAAGCTCCTAGTTTGGTAGTGTCTCATTCTTCACCTGAAGACGGCTGCTTGCGTTGTAGCCGAAACGTCGTGAGAATTGTTTTATTATGTTTTATTTTTATTATTTTATTACTTCCCTTCTACGTGACTTTACCGAAAGACACGCGTGAGATTTTTTGTTCGCGCTCGCTGGTGAAGCTTGTAAACCACGTTGCTTACGATCAATGAGATTAGAAAGGACTTTTATATGGTTCTCAGTTCCCAGATGGATAGAAAAAAAATCGTAATTTATTTATATTGGCAGATCATTCACCGATGACTCATGTATTTATAAATCATCTCACGTACCCCCTGGGAATGAGTTTGTAGACACACAGCGGCCAATGCCTGGCTCAGTCTTAACACAGCTCTGAAGAGCCCCCTGGAGGCACAGGGATGCCACAGAACTACCACAGAGTTACCACACGCAACCACACGGCTGTCAAAGCGCACCTCCGATTAGCGTGGTTGGCTACGTACAGTGCGAAAGAAAGTTAAACACACTGCACAAACAATACATAATTATCATTGCCAACCTTGGGCGATGATTGCGTCATGATGCTAGTTCCAAAATGACATGTATGTAAAGCACGGGACTCACTGTAAAGTACCGGACTGACTGACTTTTCTCTGCTGGACATCTGTGAAAAAGAGCTTCATAGCTCATCGGATTCCTCCAGTGTAAAGAAACACACCCGATGGCACAACTCTGTGCTTTCTCTGCAATATTTTTTGCTGTCTTTCCCTGGATTTTCTGTTTGCACTTAGTCACATATTCACTTTCAGATGTTTTCTTGTTCATGTTTTTTTTTGTTGCGGTTGCACCCGATTCAAGAGCCGAATGGCTCACAGGGCTACAACCTAATAAATAAACTTGAACTTGAAATGAACTTAAACTTTGGTATCCACGCGGGAGCCGAGGCACGCGAAGTTTCATCCCGAACATCACGGCTCACGCATTCCGGGCCATTCCAGGTGCCAGTCGTGTCCGACAAATTCGAGGAGGAGGTGACGGGCGGTGAGATTTCGATGCCACTCGGCGATTGAATTTCCCTTGACGCTCGTCATCAGTCCATGCCCGTCAACCCGCACGAGTTGAACCCCGTATCCTTCTCGTGCAGGGAAATTCAGTTTTCAGGTCCACACGGCGTACAGCCGTTTCAATACGGGCAATAAGTAATGTATTTTTTTTTTTACTTTTTTTTAAACACGCTTTAATGAAATGTACCGTCAGAGCCGGCCCAGCCACTAAGCGACCCTTGCAATTGCAAAGGGCCCCGTGGCCAGCAGAGGGCCCCCTAGAGTCACTGCTAGCTATTGGGTGAAAAAAAGCATACATCAAAGGGGCCTCCAACCAAATTTTGCTTAGGGCCCCCAAAGGTCTAGGGCCGGTTCTGTGTACCGTACTAGTAATGTAAGAACTCCACGACTCCAGGAAGTGGCCCCGAAGCTTGCCATAACGTAAGCGGCCGTGGTGATTTACAGCCAACGTCAGTGGAGCGTGGACAATTAGATTCAAGCCGAAACATAACATATACAATATAACGTTTAAAAATATATATTCTTTTTAATGATAGAATATAGTATTGTCATCAGTATGACATAAGTATACCAAGTTTGCAGTCGATACCACATTGGGAAGTGGCTTAAAATTGAGTTACAAGATTTGAGGATACAACAACAGAGTTAATAAAAAGCGTGTAATGATAAAATAATAACAACAGCAAATGGTGTCTATTTGTTTGTGTTTCTCGCCTTGTGATGGGACTTTGTAGGATGAACGTTGAGATATATAATGTCTGAATTGGTCTGTATTAAGCTAGGCACTGATGAGGGGTTTACAGGTACAGTATGTCAGTCTATCTACTGCTGGATGAAGGCCTCCACAAGCCGGTCGCCATCCCTCACGAACCAGCGATCCATCGCGCACTGAAACTGATCTCTCATTGCTTCATCTCCACCTCCCGATCAGCACGGTAGGCTACGTACGGTGCGAAAGAAGTTCCACAAACATGCACGGCGGTTGCTCCATTTGGGGTCCTTACTGCTGAACTCTATAAATTGACAACAACGAGCGCACGTGTCATCATTGCTTTAGGGACGACCAGACGACACTGATGCCCTGCCGTGTGATGTGTCTTCCGGCGCACAATGGCACGGGTCTTGAGTCTCCGTGGCGCAGACACACGTGGCACGCGTCTTGAGTCTCCGTGGTCCAGACACTCACACGTGGCAGGCGTCTTGAGTCTCCGTGGCGCAGACACTCACACGTGGCACGGGTCTTGAGACTCCGTGGCGCAGACACTCACACGTGGCACGCGTCTTGAGTCTCCGTGGCGCAGACACTCACACGTGGCACGCGTCTTGAGACTCCATGGCGCAGACACTCACACGTGGCACGCGTCTTGAGTCTCCGTGGCGCAGACACTCACACGTGGCACGCGTCTTGAGTCTCCGTGGTCCAGACACTCACACGTGGCAGGCGTCTTGAGTCTCCGTGGCGCAGACACTCACACGTGGCACGCGTCTTGCCATGGCTCACCGTGGTGCACACAATCACACGTGGCACGCGTCTTGCCATGGCTCACCAGCCCCGCTACATCATTGCCAGCAGAGGGCAGTGCAGCACAATCCATTGTTGTACTGTACTCCAAGGCTGTAATTCTAATATATATTGGTGAGGACACATCGCTCCCCAATATTCAAATATGCTCAAAATGTCCCCCTCCCCAATATATTGCTGTAACAAAAATAATTGCTATGCTATGTAAATAAAAACAACAATTTGCTAAACCTTGGCAACAATATCTGGACTTGTCTTCATATAAATCAATGCATAGATTTTGTTCATATGATTGTGGTAATGGTTGTACTTTATTAACAGAGCAGTGTAGTACAATACACTTAGACATTTTTTGTAAAAAATAAATAAAAAGTCCATCCCATGTGTTCGTGAATTTTTTTTATATTTTAGGCATCTAAACTTTTCAAATTTAGATATTTTTCTGGGTTGGGACCCCCAGACCCCCTGGAAGATTTGGTCCCCCCTTACTCTACTCATCTGCGATGTGACAACCTTCACACTTGCCCCCCCCCACCTTCAATCTGCTTGAGCAGCACGTGAAGTGTGCGGTCGTGCGCGGGAATCGAACTCGGGTCACTGGCGGCTTCGTAGCGCGGTGTGGGGCTACCGGCGCGCCACCACCGCTCCGCATGCTGGAGTACACGCACAGAGTACACAGAGTACACACAGTACAGAGTACACACAGCACAGAGTACACACAGTACACACACACAGTACACACACAGAGTACACAGAGTACACGCACAGAGTACACAGAGTACACACACACAGTACACACAGTACACACACAGTACACACACAGTACACACACACAGTACAGAGTACACGCACAGAGTACACAGAGTACACAGTACACAGAGTACATACAGTACACACAGCACAGAGTACACACAGTACACACAGCACAGAGTACACACAGTACACATACACAGTACACACAGTACACACACACAGAGTACACAGAGTACACGCACAGAGTGCACACAGCACAGAGTACACACAGCACACAGTACACAAAGTACACGCACAGTGTACACACAGTACAGAGTACACGCACACAGTACACACAGTACAGAGTACACACGCTGGAGTACACAGAGTACACGCACAGATTACACACAGCACAGAGTACACACAGTACACACAGTACACGCACAGAGTACACACAGTACACAAAGTACACGCACAGTGTACACACAGTACAGAGTATACGCACAGTGTACACACAGTACAGAGTACACACACAGAGTACACACAAAGTGCACACACAGAGTACACACAGTACACACGCACACAGTACACACAGCACTCAGAGTACATACGCTGGAGTACACACGGCGCACGCACAGGGGCGACACGCGTGCTCGCTGCTGCTGTTGTTCTCGTCGATGATGATGCGCAACGCGACACGGAACTGCAACCCGCGGGTCACTTCCCCGTGCGGCTGCTCCGCTCGCCTCCCAGCGTGGAGCTCAGCGGAGGTCTCCATCCTCGGCACGGCGCCTGGGACCCCTGGGGACAGACCATCGGGGGGCGGGGGGGGCACGCATGGCCAGGTGCTCGGACGAGACTCAAGCAAGAGCCACCGCGACCTCTCCTCGCCTGCGAGCCAGCCCCGAGCCAGCCCGAGGAGTCGTGGGGGGCTCTCTGGAGGTCACCTGGCACGGCAGTGGCACCGAGACATCTTTCGGGGTCGTTCCGTGGGCGGTGGCGGTAGCGGTGGTGGAGTCATCGCGAGCAACAGAATAATCGTCTCGGCGCATGAGAATGCAAGTTTGTGTTTGTGCAGCACGGTGGCACGCGAGTCGCACGCGACTTTAATGCGCAACAACAAATCTTGACGGCGGCGGCGGCGGCGTCGGCTGAAGAAGAAGAAGAACCGCAGCCAACAAACGCAACTCGCTCAGTTTCGGTTTCACTTCGTGTTTTGTGTGCGCGGTGGCCCGGGCAGTGGCGAGAGGCGCTGTCCGCACGCGCCTGTTCGGTGCGTAACGACGGAGCGCACACAGCAGGCAAATACAAAGATCCCCCGGGTAGCCTGTAACAGACTGCAGGGGCAAGTGCTGTTAGCGAGCACCTATAAAGGCCGGCACGGCCGCCTTTGTCTCCCTACTGGTGATGTTTACTGCAAACCGCACCGGGTACTCATTTGAGGCTGAGTCGACCTAGGGGAGGCTCAGGACCTGGTTCAGATAATCGTCACTGGTGTTGGTGGCTGTGAGCGGAAATCGAACCCGGGTCGCCGGGTTCGTAGCGCAGCGCGCTAACCACTAGACCACCGCTCCCCACACACACACACAGGTAGAGGTAGAGCTACTCCAGGTAGCCTTGACCACACACCCAGGTAAAGGTAGAGCTACCCCAGGTAGCCTTGCCCACACACACCGCAGCCTCTGTGATTGTGCCAGATCCGTACGAGTGTGTGGCGACCTCCATTGCATTCTGTGATGATGATGGTATTTGGTTGTTGGTGGTGGTGATGGGGAACGTAGTTTCTTCACGTTGTGCCCCGCTGCAGTGTTGTGGAGTAGACCTCGGTTCAGTGAAAACAAAATCGAGTAGCGTGCACGGGAACACCGCAGCACTGCCGATGAGACTGTTGAATGTGGAAACCGTGCCAATGGGAAGTGTACAACTTATATTGGGGTTGTTGTTGGGGTTGTTGTATGTGCAGGGACATGTTTGAAGGGGTGCAAGTTGGTTATTGATTATACTGTAGTACGGTGCTGTGTACACTAGTACATGAGTACATTGGCATGGTGCAGGCGCAGGCCCTGCAATTGCTGGAGAAAGGGCCTCCGCTCGAGTGAGCGCCTCCTGAGAGAGCGATCTTGCACTGTGGGCGAGGCACGACGTGGATAAAGCGATGTCTCGCCGCCACATCTCCGTCTCCCGCATAGACAACCAAAAGCATGCATTTATTATTACACGATTTGTATTAACTCACTCTGCCTGTTGTTGTCGTATCCTCAAATCTTGTAACTCAATTTTAACCCACTTTCCAATGTGGTATCGACTGCAAACTTGGTATACTTATGTCATACTGATGACAATACTATATTCTATCTAATTGTCCACGGTCAACTGACGTTGGCTGTAATTGGCCACGGCCCCTTATGTTATGGCAAGCTTCGGGGCCACTTCCTAGAGTCGTGGAGTTCTGCCATTACTAGTACATTTCATAAAGCATGTTTTTAAAAAAAGTTTTTTTTTTAATATTACTTATTTTGTACAAAAAAAATCGGCCGCACTGCCTTCTGGGAGTGCAGAATTTAAAGCAGCGTTGATTCAGTGCACGTAACACTTTGGATTGGTTTCGACATTGGGTGTCTCATCAGCGGCAGAGTCAGGCTCGCTTGTCCAACGCTGATGAAACTGCGCGGTGGTGAGATGTTAACTCCCTCGTCTGGTATGCAAAGGTTGTGGGTTCGATGCCGACCCTGACGCCTCGATGTTTGGAGTTTGCATGTTCTCCCCGGGGTCACGTGGCTTTTTCTCTGGTTCCTCTGGTTTTTCCCTCCACATTTAGGAACTTGAGGTTAGCCACTTCGTTGAGCTATCATTTGTGGCCAGATCGCTTCTGAAAACGATCTAATAGCTCCGTGGGCTTCACCTGGTAAAATAAAAAATAGGGAAAAAAATAGTTTCGTGCGGAAACAAAAAAAACCGCTAATTGCCTTCATTACAAATCACGTTTTTTTTTTCCTGGCAACAGGGTCATGGCGGGCACAGGATCGTGTGGCGTAAAGGGCTCTGCTACGGAAGCTGCGAGCAAGCTGCACACGTCGTCCCTGCTGTGCAAGCTGCTCTCTCCGCTGCTCACCACGCACGGCATGGACAGGCGCACGGGGAAGGCGATGCCGCTCACGCAGCTGCTGGGACGCGAGGCGTTCGACTGCAGCTCCCTGGCGGACCGAGCATTCCAGGTGCAGCCCGAACTGCTGAGATGCCCGGGCTACGGCATCGACCGCACAGGCAGCACAGACTACCTGTGCGCGACACTCGACAAGGTACGGCCGCTCGCCTGCGCCAATATGCCGTGCGTACGACGTGAACGGACCTGAGAATCGGTCAAATGGATGAGTGGGGAGAGGCCTAGACAAATTGGAAATATAGCGGTTGTCAGATGAGGGAGTTTCACCTTAAGTTTGTTTTAACCTGGTCAGAACTCAGGAGCCTGGGGTATGGTCCCATTTTCATGTGAACTGGGACACCAAAATTACAAAAACAATGACGTAAAAGTACAATTAATCTAATAGAAATTAGAGCAAAAACAACCGCATTACTGAATAAAGAAAAAACACAAACATGTTTCAAATCTAGAATAAAATGTTTCTTGTGACAAAAGTCTTGAAAATTTGTACTTTTAAAAATTATTCATCATACAACTAATTTTTGTTTAATTTTACCAGGTAAGGCCCACTGAGACACGTCGCTCTTTTTCAGTCACGTTCTGGCCACAGATGATAGATCAACCAAGTGGCTTATGTGGACATTTATAGCAGCCAAATACTCTAAACGTGTGTTGATTCTAAATATGGAGGGAGAACACGAAGGACCCGGACAAAAATACACACGACCACAAGGGAACATGCAAACTTCAGATACACAGGCGTTAGGGTCGGAATCGAACTCACGACCTCCTGTATACCAGTTAACAGTTGCGGAATCATCAAATTTGGTTGATGGTGATTATTGCACGTGTGTGTGCGTGTGTGAACAGTCACGGGTACCTGCCACGTAGAGCAGAATGAGTGGTCAGAGTAACGAAGTGATGGACATAGGAAGCAGGGTGTGAGTGGTCAGGTCGGTGTATCGTTGGAGAGAACAACAAAGTGAGGGGTGAGCGAAATGAGAGGCCCGGAGAGAAACGGGGATTACTGGGAGAGCCCGGCGAGTGAGATAAGAGAGTGAGGAGTGAGGAGTGGTGGGGATAGTTCCCTGCAGCACAGCAAGTAGAGAAGTGGAAGTTAGATGTACAAACAGGTTGCATTGAACGTAGCCAAGTAGGACGTCAAATTCAAAATGTTGAAACGATGGAGGAATGCAAGGGTAGTGGTGGTGCAGTGTTTTGCACAAGTCGCCATGGACCCTGGATCCCCGGGTTCAGTTCCCAACCACGGCTACAGTGATTGGCGAGAAACAATTCTGAGTCATCCCACCTTAGTCAACTCACAGTGACCAGCCTGGTCAAGTATGGCCAATGATTGCCCGCTGATGTGGCATGGTGGGGGTGTGTATGTGGTCTAAAGTACGGCATGCTGTTCTATATTACTTACGGAACGCATTTCGTGCTAAAGAGCAGCGGTGGTCATGTTGAAGATCGCAGTGTTGTCTGGGACACGTACACGGTCGATATGCAACTTACAATTGACACCATTGACGCTCAGTTAACAAGATGTGCTGTGAAAAAGATCTGGCAATATCAGTGGGCAGTTGCGTGAATCTCATTACTGTATTGACTTTGTGCGAAATGGCTCGTGCGATGAGGGCATTAGTTCACTCTGTTCATGTTTAATTCGATTTCTGTCAGGTGGCATATCGTTACACACACTATGAACACGGGTGTACACAAAAAGCTATTGGCATCTTCTTCCTTGACGGGAAGGAAAACAACGCAGATGATAACGATGAGCTACTGAGGAAGGTGATGGGTGAACATTAAACAGGTATGGTGGTTGCCCACAGAAAATGCACAATGTACATGCATACTGTGCAAGCGTGATGTACATACATTATGTATGTCAATTAACTGTGAATAACCAAACCAATAATTATAATAGATATCCATTGTAATTATATGAATACATTAAAACTCTCCACCCGACACAGCCAATTAGTAAGGTTTGTCACGTAAACAGAAAATGCCAATTCGTTATTAGTACAGCACACCAGTGTGTTGGAGAGAAAATCCACAACATTTACAATCGGAGTACGACGTTTCGCCAGTAATTACAACCGGCATCATCAGGCGGCAGCCAGATTTGTGGAGAAATCCTCATGTTTCGTTCCTTAAATAGAGGGATAGATGTGATGACGTCAACTCTGAGCCCTTTTTGTGGGACACCTGCATTTGAAAACTATTCGCAATGATCGCCTCCTACTGGCAGACTAGGCCCAGGCCACTCTTGCAAAGGGACACGCTTGGTCTCTTGAGTTCTCACCTGGTTAATCAAAATAAACCTGCACCTTGAGCCCCGGTAGCACTGTTAACACAAGCCACATTCTGGACTGGCTTGACATAGAAAGTTTTGTCCTGTTATAGGAATCCTAAGGGGGTGGCCTGATTAGACAGGCAGCGAGGCATTCCTAAACAGCAGCGGGCCCCCTATACTAGCACAGTGTTATGATGCAACGAGTTGGTTCAAACAGGTGTGTGGTCAGCTAGCAGTGGCCGGATCGCGTGGTGGGACTGGTCATCCATCCGATGTGATGCAATGGAGATTAGATGGCATTCTGGTCAGCTGATTGGGTCATGTATGATGCAATTGAAGTATTTTAAACAGTAAAATATGTCCTGACAGTATAGTTTTATGAAGAGCCCTTGTTTCCATGGACCCATATTTACACGTTGTGTCCGCGTGCCTCCAGCGATCATTCCAGTCAAGCACAGGATTAGGCACTCCCCAGGTGTCTCAATGGCGAGATGTTTAGCACCTCGCCTGGTGTACATGAGGTCGTGGGTTCGACCCCGACGCCTGCATACATGGAGTTTGTATGTTCTCCCCGTGGTCGCGTGGAATTTCCTCAGGGTCCTCCAGGGTTTACAATCTACATTTAGAAACATGGGTTTAGATTATTTGGCTGCTACTATAAATGTCCACGTGATAATAAGCCACTTCGTTGAGCTATCATTTGCGTCTGGGTCGCATCTGAAAAAGAGCTATTAGACTCAGTGGGCCTTACTTGGTGAAATATTTAGTCTTCTTGGTTCTTTCGGTAAGTCACGTAGAATGGAAATAATAAAATAATAAAAATAAAACATAATAAAATTATTCTCACGACGTTTATCGACAGACCTGTTCTTCACCTGAGGACGGCTGCGTGCGTTGTGGCCGAAACGTCGTGAGAATTATTTTATTATGTTTTATTTTTATTATTTTATTATTTCCATTCTATGTGACTTTACCGAAAGAACCAAGAAGATGAATCCCTGCAGTCACGAAAGCTTTACATCGAGAAATATTTAGTCTTTCTTGTTATCTGTGTGCCTGTCTCAGTGTTCCTGTCTCTCTCTGTGTCTCTGTGAAGGTTTTTTGTATTCTATCCATGTGTCTGGGTCCTCATATCTGCGTGGCCCTGTGTAGTTGTTCGTAGCCAAATGGCGATGGGCGATCGCGTGTTTCTTTCGCTCATTAAATTATATTTTAATCACGATATCGGTCGAAACTGAGAGCACGTCGCCATTAGTCGAGGGAATTTCAATTTGGGGCTTCACAGCTGGCAGAGAGAACGGCACCAGACAGCGACGTCACGAGCCCCGTTCTACTTTAATAAAGTGAATAAATCATTTCATCTCAGCAACTTTGACTGAACGATCCAGGTAAAACAAGGTGACGTTATTTATTTCGCAAAATATATACCGCGCTTCACGATCCTCCTTGGGAATGCTTTTGTCGTTCCGGGGGTGGTGGTAATGGTCGACCGTTGATCCTGCTGTGCTCCAAGCCCCCTCGCACATCGCTCCCAGCTGCCATCCTCAGCAGCGCCCCTAAGGGCTTGGCGCTCGCTCAGAATTTGGCACATTTATAATTTAACACGTAGGCTTTCGCGACCAATATTATTCATAATCAACGTTTTTGGGTTAGATTTACGTTATTTATAAATGTGTCGTAACCCTCCACCACCAGACATGGCCAATCAGTAAAAAAGTGTCACGTTGACAAAAGACAAATAGTTCACTGCTTTAGCCCACCGGTGTGTTGAAGCGTGAAACCACAACAACTAAAAATTGTAAATGTTGTGGTTTCACGCTTCAACACACCGGTGGGCTAAAGCAGTGAACTATTTGTCTTTTGTCAATGTGACACTTTTTTTGCTGATTGGCCGTGTCGAGTGGTGGACGGTTACGACACATAAATAACGCGATCTGACCCAAAAACGTCGATTACGGACATTTATAATTCCCAACGTCTGCTTGCGTGGTGTCTATAGTGGGGAGCGGAAGTGTGACAGTGCACTGTGCTACGAACCCGGCGACCCGAGTCTGATTTCCACTCACAACCAGCAACACCAGTGATGATTGTCTAAACCGCGGTCCTGGGCCTCTCCTAGATCGACTCAGTCTGAAATTAGTACAGTGGCTGGTGCGACATGTAAACATCAGCACTTGGGAGACAAAGGCATTTGGACATTGCGATAGCCATCCACCCCCTCGTGTGCCGTGCCGGCCTTCACAGGTGCTCGCTAACAGCACTTGCCACATGGGGGACCTTTATTTGGTGTTTATGGGCAGTGTGTTCCGTCACCTTGGCATGAGAGTTGATCTACATTTCATTTGTTGTGGTGCTCGCGGCTATGCGTGTTGTTTATGGATGTGCGGCTGAACCGGCTGGGCACATTTTGGTAATGGATTGAGGCGAAACCATTTTCACACAAGGGGCATGTAAGATGGGGTTAATATGTTCTCAGCAGGACCACAGAGGTCCCTGGAGGCCTGGGCAAAATGCCCATTGGGGGGCCACTTATTCCAGATGAAAAATAACTTTTAAACCTATGAATTATATAATGTCCTAAACCTGTCCATTTATAACGTCTGAAGGAATGTCAATACATTCATAACAAACAAGAACAGCTGCTGCATTGTTTACTTTGCATAGCAACACTCCGTACAGTGAAGTCATCAACACCACCGGCCACGCGGCTCGGCAGTGGGAAGGTTGTGAGTTCAACTCCTGCCTGGTTGGTTGGTCGACTTGACCCTTCGAAGCTCAACGAGCACCACTTTGTGGGGTAGTCAACAGTGGTTGTCCTATGGATAGACTCGCCCCGGCCATGAGAATGCGGAATTACCACTCCACTTAGCTCAGGGCTGCAAACAGCGGCTGTAAATGGGAGATGGATTAAACCATTTTTTTTATAAAAAAAATATTTGACTAAGTAAGGCCCCACTTTAGTTTTGTAGTTCTTTTACAGCAGTGACCTGGCCACAAATGATAGCTCAACGAAGTGGGCTTATCATCATCACGTAGAAATATACAGCAGCAGCCAAATACTCTAAACGCGTGGTGACGTTGATTCTAAATGTGGAAGGAAGAACCGAAGGACCCGGAGAAAAATCCACGCGACCACGGGGAGAGAGAGAGAGACATGCAAACTCCAAATATAACGCAGGCGTCATGCTCGGGATTGACCCTACGACATCCTGCACACCACGCGATGTAGTTAACATCTCGCCACCGTGGCGCCCCTGCCACTCATCACCGCGATTCGACCCTGGAGCCGTCGCGCGGCAGTCTCTGACGTGGCCGGTGCCTCTCGCCCACCAGGTGCAGCAGGCCAACAGCGGGGACTCGCGCCTGGTACCGCTGCACGTGGACGGGGACGGCCACTGCCTGGTGCACGCCATCTCCCGGGCGCTGGTGGGCCGCGAGCTCTTCTGGCACGCGCTGCGCACGGCGCTGCGCGCCCACCTGGAGGAGGAGAGGGACACGTACCGCACGCTGCTCGCCGACTTCTTGGTGGACGACGAGTGGGACGAGATCGTGCGCGAGAGCGAGCCCGACTACAGGCCGCCGCGGGGCACCCTGCACGGCCTGAGGAACGTGCACCTGCTGGGCCTGTCCAGCGTGCTGCGACGGCCCATCATCCTGCTGGACTCCGACGGCGGCATGGCTTCTTCGGGGGACTACGCAGGTGATGGCCGCAGACGTTGCGGGGACGTCTCTTGAGGGTTGCCCGCGTGTGTACATCACGATGCGCGTGTGTACATCGCAACGCGTGCGCGCATCGCAAACGTGTTAAACTAGAGCCCTGCGTGGAATTACGAGGGAGAGTCGTCACATTGCGCGAGCGAGTGACTCGCTGAAAGGCGCTGCCGCTGTGCAGTGCGTGTGGGGCCGTGTGAACGCTCAGCCCAGCGCCACTGTCACAACACGTGTGCGTGTGTGAGTGTATGTATGGGGAGCGGTGGTGTAGCGGTTAGCGCGCTGCGCTACGAACCTGCCGACCTGAGTTCGATTCCTGCTCATGGCCACCAAAACACCGGTGACGATTATCTCAACCGATCCTGGGCCTCCCCTAGGTCGACTCAGCCTTAAATGAGTACCTGGTGCGGTGTGTAAACATCGCCACTGGGGAGACAAAGGTGGTCGGGCGTGGTGCTGGCCACCGTACCGTTACAGCCTTCATAGGTGCCCGCTAACAGCGCTTGCCCCTACAATTAAAACAAAAAATCTAACGTGAGAGTTTCAGTGGTTGTTATCACACAGCGGCGATGTGTGTGTGTGTTTCAGGGACGTTCCTCCCGGGCTTAGTTCCTTCCGAACAGCGTCGCAGACCGAGCGACGGCAAGTTACACCGGCCGCTGTGCGTGGCGTGGGCCAACCTGGAGCACATCCACTTTGTTCCTCTCGTCGGAGTCAGGGGCCTTGTGCCTCCTGTTCTGCCCAAAGAAATGCTGCCCAAGGTCTGGGGATTCACCAACAAGGCCCTGGAAGATTACATCGACTTCAGCGAGGGCGACTGCTGCGTCATCGGCGGAGACCGAACGCTGACCGACAGCTACGTCGAACGTCTCATCTCGTCCATGCAGGAGATGTTTACCGAAAAGCACGGAATTCCCCCTTCCTTAGTGGTTGACTGTCAAGAGTCGCTCAACATGGGATCGTGGAAGACGGACGGAGAAATGATCGCGACGCTGAAGGTGTATTTAAGCGACGGCCAGCTGTATCAATGCACCAACTGCATGAGCGTAGTCGTGGTTGGGAATGAAACGACCGACGGCGACAGGGCGCCAGATGTCCAGGACGAAGGGCAGCAACCCTGCGCGGTCGGGGCGGGCGCGTCATCGGGCGCTAGTGTCCCTTCACCTTGCAGAAGCTGTTCCTCGGAAAGGGTCCGAAAGATCCGCGAGGACGGCTCCACGCAATATGAAAATACCGACCGAACGTCAACCCCCTCCGGCACGTGTAAATGTGGATTTAAGCATTACTGGGACGGTCAGGAGTATGACGGGCTGCCGCAGCTCGTGGGGGTCTCGTTCAGCTTGAACGGGAAGTGGATCGAGGACACCGTGGTGGTGTTCAAGGACCAGAGTGACCCCGGGCTCAACACAAATGTGCAGAAGATGGCTCAATATTTGCAGCTCAAACATTTTCCGGGCGCAGAGGTGAGCGGTGAGCTGGAGACCCTAGCCGCTCACGTGCTGTACAAGCAGCAGCAGCAGCAGCAGCTGTTGGCCACAGAGCGGGGCGACCGTAGCGTGGAAGCTGGCGACAGAGAGACGCGTGCAGACGACGCGGCAGAAGACGCGAAGCCCAATGGTGCGCTGCTGTCAAAAGACCGTGCCGAGGGCACAGACGCTCTGGGCAGCACCGAGGAACCCGCGGGCAAGGAACAGGCACGCCAGCCTGGCTGGGAAAGCACATCCCAGGGTGGGGCCGTATCGAATGCAGCAGCCGCAGCTACAGCAGCCGCAGCCTCTGGGAGGCAATGCCTCGCGCAGAATCAAGCGCCACATGCTGCTCCGCACGCTGCGCCGAACTCGTCACCTGCCTCGGGAAATGTCGGGGTGAAGCCGGGCCAGGGAGTCGTCGTGAGTCTGCAGGCAGACTGCACGCAGGAGCTAATTTTACTCAACACCATGGCCAACGTTTTGGGTGAGTTAAACACAATGGACTTGTTATTTTTGCGGTGGCTATTGAATCTTGCGACAGTTTGTGTTCACAGCATTGCATGCAACGATTGTTAAAGCCGCACAATAGATGCACTCATTCGCAACTTGCCAGGATGCCGGGATGCGAATGAGGACGAGCGAGCTGAAAATACTGGGCACGTCACCCGCAGTCGGCATTGCCACCCGGGCGCGGTTCAAACCCAGAGAGCATCCTTGTTGCACAAACGAGCTTCGAGAATTTGTTCATCTCCCGTTTAAAGCCCTGAGCCAGTGGGTCGAAGATACACATTGCTTTGGCGCGGACGGGGCAATCCGTAGGACAGCCGCTTTGATGGTCCCCACAGAATGGTGCTCGTTTCATCCACCCCAGATGGAGGGATGATGATGATGGGCTAAGTCAACCCTCAAGCAGGATTTGGGCGCCACGGTGGCGAGATGTTAACTACCTCGCCTGGTATACAAGATGTCGTGGGTTCAATCCCGACCATGACGCCTGCTGTATTTTTGGAGTTTGCGTGTCTCTCTATCCCGTGGTCACGTGGACTTTTCTCCAGGTCCTCCGGTTTTTCCCTCCGCATTTGGAAACACGCCTTTAGAATATTTGGGTGCTATTTATTTCCACATGATACACCTTTTGTGATAGCCAGGTCGCTTCTGACAAAGAGCGATAATAGCTCAGTGGACCTTACCTGGTAAAATAAAAATAGTGAAAAATGGTAAGTTCGAGTACCTGTGTGGAAGCAGACATGTACAGTGTGACAATTCCTATACCGGCCTCGTTATTTTGGGTGGATTTAAAATCCCCAATTCATCGGTCGATTTCAGCAAACAATTTACACATCTCATATCGAATTTACAGATTGAAAATACGCCTTCATGGAATGCTTTTGCTGACGATTGGAGCTGTAGAAGTGCCAGTCTCTCTTAGCACCCATGCGTTCTGCGGCCCGTGGTCACTGCCTTCTGCGGAAACCAAGTTGAATAGGATTAGGAACCGGTTTGAAAAGTGTGGGTACACGTTGTGTAGTGTTACGGATCTGTATACCATCATGTGGTCTACCGCACGCCCGATTAGCACGGTTGGCTACGTACACTGCAAAAGAGAAATTCAACGTAAATATACCGACACATTTCCACCACCGCTTACGGTGGTGGACCATTTAAAGGATATTCAAAGCCCTCTTTGAGCGTCGAGTGACTAACGCTGAATGCGGTCCACTCGATGAATCGTCCGCACGGTGCCTGATGTTCGGCTAACTTGTGTTGCAGGAGACAGTTTGTGGTCGTTTGTCAAGAAACTTCCGTACACGTTCTGCGACGCCGGAGTGTTTCTCCGTAAAGCCAGCGACGACTTAGGTACGGCCATGCCCGCTGGTGCAACACCACTCATTAACACAATGCGACAGAAGTTCAACATACTGTACTGCACATGCATACAAGAGTGAACTCTTGAAACGATTTTGTCACAGGTTCTGAAGTTGTGATATTAATTCAAAATGGGTGAATGTAGTTTCAACGCTGTTTATTGTTTTAGTTATTCTTGCTCCACTTGTTTACGCAGCAGGGTCTCGCCGAGTCTCAACTCTTTTTCAGGAGAGTCCTGCCAAGTTTTTCACAGCAGGGGGCGATGATGTTGCTGCCTCGCTCGCGAGCTCGATGTTGCTGCTCTACGATCTGCCATAAACATGCTAATCTCTCCCATTAACATCACAAGCCCCGCTCACGTCCTTTATGACCCTTGGGCTACACCCATTTTAAACCTTTTAAAACAGTCTGCCTCAGCAGCTGTCCCCCTCTTTTTTCTTCCTGATGACGAACGCTTGTGTTGCGATCGAAACGTCGTAGTTTTTTGTTGTTTTCGTTATTTTCTTTGAACCTATCTACGTGACTTTACCGAAAGACCCAACAATACTGAGTAATGTGCAGCTAATTCTAGATTTGAAGCTTTCGTGACTGCAAGGATTCATACTCGTAGTTCTTTCGGTAAAGTCACGTCGGTAAAAAAATAAAATAAAAATTAATAAAAATAAAATAATAAACTCACGACGTGAGTTTATTATTTCATGTTTTATTCATTTTAATTTCATGTTTTTTACCTACGTGACTTTACCGAAATAACTAATGTGCAGCTAATTTCTTGTCAGCGTTGCGATGTTTCACGCATGTGCCCTATACCCCGCTGCCTCATCCACGTTGCATCCATCTGTCACCCTCATTCACCATCACACTCCACCTTATTCCTCCTTCCCTACCGCTGCACCATCAGCAACTCCATTCCCAGGCCCTATCCCATCCCTTCCGTCACCTCCTCACTGACAGTCGCTCCACCCCATCCGTTGCTCCCCTTTTGCCCCTCGAATACCGCCGTCGGCTTGTGCTGTAAAGTGCCCTGGAAATGGCGCTATATGAGTCCTCAATAGAATAGATTGCCGTTCCACACTGTGTGCGTGCGTGTCGTTCTCAGAGTTGGCGGATGGCGTGCACTGCAGCTTCCCGTGTCTACCCGGCCGAGTGTTCGTCTATAACGAGAGCCGCCATCGGCTGGACATCTGCCTGCTGGAGAGAGGCCACCGGTCCGTGGGGCAGGAGCTCGAGGACCGGGAGGGCCCGGGGCCGCTGGAGGTATTGACGGGGAGCCTCCGTTCCGCGGACCTCCGGACTGCCGCGCGTGTGAGTGAAACTCGCGCTCGCTCCGAGCCGTGTTTTCACGACGTCTTAAGGCAGGAGGCTAAAGTTTAGTGGCGAGTTTGTTTGTTTTGTTGAACTGGGGGGCGCGGGGGGGGGGGGTGACTCGGGGGGAGACCGGCATGAGTGTCATCTTCACGAGTGATCTCGGTTGACAAAAATAACAAGCAATGTTATTAAGTAAAGTGCAGCCGTGCAGTCAATAGAAATCGGAACAAAGTCAACCAAATAAATTACATTATGGATGAAATTAAAAACTGCACGGACTTAATTAAATTAAATTATTTAATGAAATTATTTTCTTTAACGGAAAGTTTGATCGGATCAATTACTTTTCAAAAACATTTACAATAAAATTAAGTTACAGAAACATCATGACACTCGTGTGTTAACAGACAATACACGTCAAGTTCATCGTTACCGTGCGTACATAGTATGGATGAGCTCCTAAATTCCGGATAAATCCGAAAAATCCAGTTGAGATACAAAACTTTGGATGATATGTAAAACGTGTTCGTTTCGAATTCACATCACAAATCTCATGACATTGGCACCAAAATATGTTACATTCGTACAGAATGCCAGTGATGCAGACATCAGCACAATATGTCCGCATCACTCCCGTTAGGGTGCCACGATGGCGAGATGTTAATTACCTCGTCTGGTATACAGGAGGTCGTGGGTTCGATCCCGACCCTGACACTTGCTCTATATTTGGAGTTTGCATGTCTCTCTGTCCCCGTGGTCGCGTGGATTTTTATCCAGGTCCTCCGGTTTTTCCCTCCACATTTAGAATCAACATCACGCGTTTAGAGTATTTGGCTGCTATAAATGTCCACACGATAATAAGACACTTTGTTGAGCTACATAGCTCAGTGGGCCTCAGCTGGTAAATAAATAAATAAAACTGTAATTGTCCTTGAAAAGACAAAATGCTAAATGTTTAAATACTAAACTCATCCCCAGTACCACCTTTACATGCATCGTACGCATGTAAACGGGATTGAGTAGTCGAACAATATAACCATAGCACTTCTCCCTACAGCATATCTGGAAGACGACTGCGTACATTGCTGCAACCATTTATAAACGGCCCGGTGGCGCGTTTGGCGAATTTTTGGAGAGGTTCGCGGTTCGATCCACCGGCCGCCCTGGTTATTACTGCAGAGTGCATCAGACCCCTAAAATATTACGCGATGGCTGCTTCGCAGGGGACGTTACAGACCCCGTGACGTCATTCGCAAGAGTCGGCCATTGTGTGCTCGTGTCAACCAAATTTGCATAATTAGAACAAATATCCACAAATTATTCCAATTAAATAAAAACACACCAATCATCGTCCCCCGACTGCAACAAACTTGGCAGAGTCGAGAGACTCGGCGATGCTTCCTGGGTATAAGAGCACAATTAATATTTACAAGCAGGCAGCCCATTGCAGGATGCAAAGGCAAGAAGGTGCATATTCTCAAGTTTTTTTTCTTTCTTACATCTCCATGTAGGGGTACGTTTTAATTACACTGATGTTGCACGGTCGCTAGGGATCTGCATAGAGATCTAGTTGTAAGATTGATTATGGGTGGTGCACTACCGTCTGAATATATTTTATAATTAGCTTTGGGTGATGTTTGGCGCATATGTGAAATCTCTAGGCAACGTCTTATTTTACAATTGCTGCTTAAAACATGATAAAAAAAATGGATGACTTACAATACCCCTGGCATGTTTTTGCATAGGCGGCACACAAAGACATTTACTAAATAATCACTATACATGAGGATGATACAGGGATTAGTATTGATGTGCATGACAGCTGATATCACAAACCAGACGCGTCCGGGCTGCCCAGTGAGCTAAATCTGCCCTCCGGTGTCTTCAGATTTCTTATTAGAAGCCTCCCTTTGTGGCTTTGAAATAAAATTATTTTTGCATTGTCGAGCGCTCGATGTCGTCTCTTGCAGTCACGTGATGTTTGAGGGTGTTATGGGTAGTGGGCACATCGACACGGCTGTGCCCACAGCCGCTTTAACAGACTGTTGGGGCAATTTCTCTTCAGCGAGCACCTATGAAGGCCGGCACGGCACACGAGGGGATGGGTGGCCTTTGTCTCCCGAGTGTACTCATTTGAGGCTGAGTCGACCTAGGGGAGGCCCATGACCGGTTCAGATAATCGTCACTGGTGTTGGTCATGAGCGGGAATCGAACTCGGGTCGCCGGGTTCATAGCTCAACTCGCTAACCACTACACCACCGCTCCCCACTTTATACACAAACGTCTTGTGTAAATATCTCTTCTGTTTTCTGAATACATCTCTCTCCTATCTCTATTCTAAAGGAACTACTCTATTCTGAATTCATTCCTCTTCTATACATGGGCTTTCATGAGCGATATGATTATTGGGGCTTTTTGGGTTGGGTCATGTAAATGTGTGTCGTTAAACCCCTTCCGCCACCCGACAGCGAATTGATAAAAGTGTCACGTGATTCACACGTGACTTCAGCAGCACCCCTAGCGTTGTTGTTGAGGAGCAACCTCACAATATAAAAATTCAAGCGACGTTTCGCTGGAGATGACACCCAGCATAGTCAGGTGGCGAGATGTCAACTACCTCGCCTGGTATACAGGAGGTCGTGGGTTCGATCTCAACCCTGATGCCTGCTGTATATTTCGAGTCTGCGTGTCTCCCCTCGTGGTCGCGTGGATTTTTCTCCAGGTCCTCCGATGTTTCCCTCTGCATTTAGAATCAACGTTCGTTGAGTTTGGCTGTTATACATTTCCACGTGATAAGCAACTTCGTTGGGCTGTCATTTGTGGCCAGTTCGCTTCTGAAAAAGAGTTATATAGCATCACACCCCTTACGGACGACCTTTGTCCGCGAAGGGGCTAAACCACCGAAGAGCGGCTCTACACCAATAGAGCGAGACCAGCTGCGCTTGGCCCGCGACTGGAAAATGCTAGCTGACATTGGCCGGCAACTTGTGTTTCCTCCGGAGATCGCAACCACCACCCTAAGACCTGACATGGTGCTCTGGTCCCGTTCGCTCAAGAAGGTCTTCATCATTGAGCTCACAGTACCCTGGGAGGACTCAGTAGATGAGGCTTATGAGCGAAAACATCTGCGCTATGCCGATCTAGCTGCCGAAGCACGGCATCATGGCTGGAACACAGAAGTCCGACCAGTGGAGGTGGGCTGCAGAGGTTTTGTGGCAACATCTACAACCAGACTGCTTAGAGACCTGGGAATTAAGGGCCAGAGCCAGCGTTCGGCAATCAAAGCTGTATCGGAGGGGCAGAAGGCAGCAGTCAGTGGCTCTGGATGAAGAGGAAAGACCCCAGCTGGGCCCCAAAGTGAGAGGACCAGGAGGTATGCAGTCAACAATGCTTGACTCAGGGAGGAGGACGCCCCTGCCATGCATAGTCCCATGGGATGTTGGCTACCAACAACAAGGCAACTCCTATGACTAATTGGGAATGGGACGCAAGCGTAGGATTGATCACCCTGTCGCTGGCCGCCTTTGGGGAGGGTGTATAGTATGAAAGGCCGAAACACCCTAGGAACCAAAGGGTCACTACTGACGATGCGCTCCCCAAATTTCACCAGGCTCACTGTTCATGAAACTCTTGGAAGTGCTTGCACAAAGGATAGTAACATCTCATCCTGTGTTCTTTGGAATTCACGTGATAAGCAACTTCGTTGGGCTGTCATTTGTGGCCAGTTCGCTTCTGAAAAAGAGTTATATAGCTCAGTGGGCCTTACCTGTTCAAATAAAAAAAAGAGTTTAGCTTCATGTTTTAGTTTCATTACCAGGAGCTCAGATTTCCAGCGAAAAGTCTCGTATGGCAAGGGGGGGTCTTTGGTAGGCCAACATCTTTACAACGACATGCATTTAGGAAGATAGTTGCCTGCACATCTTGAAGGGCTCTAAAGGACGATTACATTCTGTTAAATCACCACCATCGTGCCCCCTGTTGCCCGTGTTAGGGGCCGTCCATAAATGATCATCACGCGATTTTGGACAATTTTTGACCCCCCCCCCCCCCTCGTCACACGGCGTCACAAAAAATCAGACCCCCCCCCTCAAATCTGACGTCAAAAAGCTCTGCCCCCCCCCCCCCAAAAAAACATATTTCCATTTTGAAAATAAAACATGCTTCAAATCGCTTTAAATTATTGTCATTGTCGTGCGTATTTAATGTGGCGCTGCACTCTGATGTTGTAGGAGAAAACATTTATTAAAAAGTCTATTTAATTAAGTAGAACGTGTTGTCTATATTTATTTAAAGTTGCGCATTTTGATGTGACGTCACATTTCTCAAGCACCCCCCTCCCCCCATCGTCACACATCGTACCAAATGTCTGACCCCCCCCCCCCCCCCCAGGTGCGTGACGTAATTTATGGACGGCCCCTTACAGCAATAAGAGAAGCAGACTATATCATTGCACTATGATTACCCATTGTTGTCGGCATGGGTCTTTGGCATGGAGGCACCAGTGAAAAATGTTGCTTTTGTACAGACATTCAAGTACGTGACAGCACTGGTATTGTTTAATCAAACCATGTGAATGTAGCAAACAAACCCCGGGGTGGGCGGGCAGCGAACGACTGCTGAGTTAGAAAGCACCAACATTGAACAAATAAACAATTCCCTGCCGTGAGTTGTTGTCCGATGTCTCGTGTACGTATGTACGTTGCACTTCTTTCGCACCGTACGTAGCCAACCGTGACAATCGGAGGTACAGGGAACGACACCAAAACTAAACACAAAAGGCAGTTTTAATGAAATTAGTTTTCGATCTCCAGTGGCTACCCTAATATCAGAAGGAAGAGCGTTCCAAACGGCCGCAGAAGCGCATGCTTAAAGCGCAATGCAATGCAGTCACCGTCTTTGTTCGACGACGAGGCAAACAAAGCCGCTGCTGATGCTGCTGCTGCTGCAAGGATGACCAGAGTTGGGGTGATGGTTTATACTTGCAGCGTCCCCAACCTTTTTGGCACCAGGGACCGGTTTCGTGGAAGACAATTTTTTCACGGACCGGGGGGGGGGGGGGGGGCTCATCATT